TTTTTTAGGCTCAACTTGGTTGATGAAAGGATGACTCTTTTGGGTAAAGTGTTTGGAAATTAGGCTCATGAAAGATGGCCTTTGATCCTTGAGCTTTTCGCTTTAGACCTCAAAATGATGACAATCATTCAACTTAAGTTAGCAAGATTTCCTTATTCTCTCTCTTTTTTTCTTTTAGATCTTTGCTTACCATTTTCTTATTGTATGAATCTATCACATTTGACTGCAACTTTGGCCTCTATTTTGCAACACATTAATTAGTTCAAGGGAAGAATCTAGATCACCATCATCTGTCTCAACATGGATTTGGATCATTTGAGCCATATACCAATGCTGAAATGGCATCATTGTATTCAGATTCATCATTCGCAAAGCCTAAAAGCAAAAAGAAACATGGATAAGTAATAGCATACAAGGAGAGCATATATATGCAAGTAAGATTTTTTTTTGTTTTTTTGTTTTTTTTTTTTTGAGTATATTAATGGCATCAAGAAGAGTTGCATCAAGTTTAAAAGATGACAATATGGCAACACATGTTACTGAATTGTAAAGACTGGGAAAACTAATTAGCATGATAGCAAATATTTCAGAGAATATAAAAGAGCTTGTTATTCCCTCCTTTCATGAAGCCACAAGCTGAGCTACTAGAGAGCTGACTCATCCCACTCATGGATGAATGAAGCAGAGAAAAGCTTGACTGTCCAATTGGCCAAAGTGCCCAAGGCAGAAGTAATGGTCATGTCAAATAGGAGTTCATCCTTAAGAGCAATAATACCCAGGTTTCTCCATGTCCTAGATTTGCCCCCCTCATTCATGTCTCATGTGTAAGTCCACTTCAACATCATATCTTGGTGAGTTTATAAAAGCATGTTGAAGGTTACCTTTTAGATGGATGATGCATTGCTCCAAAGAGTGAGAAAACATAGGGAGACTATCATGCCTGATTTTTTTGTTTTTGTTCTTGAAGTAGTTTATGAAACCTACCTACAAACAAAAAGTAAAAGAAAAATAAACAAAGTCAGAATAATGTTAGAAGTCATCCCATAATTTTGCATGATTTAATGCTTCAACAATTGCTATATGGATTCACACATTGTCGATTTCCAATCCTTAAGAAGCCTCGGATGAAGCAAAATATCTTTGAACGCCTTGAGATTTCTATAGACTCCAAGGACTATAGAAAAGACACTTACAAGCAGTTCAACATGCATTACAAAGATGGTCATTCATTACAAAGTAAAAGCCTAATACATCACACTAAGTGCATCAACATGGTAGCATTCAAGTCCCTAGTAAAATCTGACTTCTAGATCTTTCAAAGTACAATTGTCTAATGAGTAGTTGCATTCCTTTCCTTGATGAATCCCTTGATTGTTGGAGCAACATGAAGTGTGATGTGCTTGAGCTTTTGATCTTCGAGGCTGCTCTTGGTTCTTGTCCTTCTAATCTTGCCCTCTGGACTTGGCAATTCTGAATGATAGGAAAGAAATGCTTGCGGTTGAAGATCTCTTGAATCCTTTGTTGGTCAAAGTTTCCTCCATGGATGAATATTTCAAAAGGTGTCTTAATTGACGAAGAATCGCACTTGACCATGTATGAATCCATATTTCAATTGTTGAAGGCAGAGAATCAAACAAGATTATGGGAATGCAAGACAAAAAAAATAAACATGGATGCTAAACAATAGATGAAGGATGAAGGAACATAAATATGCTCTAAAGTGATAATGTGTGTGGAGTTGTATCCTAAAGCATGCATTTTAGGGAATGCAAGAAAAGAAATAAACATGGAAGGGAAATGAGAGATAAAGGATGCAAGAATATACATATGCTAACAAGTGGTAATGTGTGTGAAATTGCATCCTAAAACATGAATTTTTCTTCATTAAGTATGCCAAGCAAATTTCAAAGGAGTAGTTGATGATTCACTATTGCAACCCATTAAATTGGCATTCATAGGAAATATCATTCCTTTGAAAAGAAAGCAAATGCTATGAAGCTTGAAGAAAAAGTGAATGGTGTGATGCTTGGAGAAAATGAATGATGTAATGCTCCAAAATCATGTGCTTAAATTATTTTGATGTCTAAAAGATGGACTTTTTATGAATTTATCTTGGAAGAACCTCTTTTTTTTTTTTTTTTTGAAATGTGAGAAAGATGAGATGAAGACGCATGAGAAGGAAACTAACAATATGAAATGGAGATAGATAAAATTTTCATTTTTTTTGCATTTTTCCCCTTTTTTTTTATGCAACTTTTATAAAATAAGGGAAATATGAGATCGAGATAGTAATGCTTGGAATGAAAATTTTGAGATAAAAAATGCAATGTGAAATGCATGTGAATGAGATTTTTTTTTTTTTGTGCAACTTTTATATGAGATGGAAGATGCAATGTAATGAACATGAGTGGAATTTCATTTTTTGTAAATTTTTGTGAAATATGAGATAAAAATGAAATGTACAATGAACAAAATGGAGAATGTCACATGTGATGAATATGAAAACATGTTTTGTGATGCATTAGATGGAAAAGGCAATGCAATGGACATACGTGAAATTTTCAAGACATATGGAGGATTTAATGTGAAATGAATGGGATGGATATATGACATGTGAAACAATCATGAACTTCTTTCTTTTTTCTTTTCTTTTCTTTTTTTATTTTTTATTTTTTTATTTTTTATGTATGGGGTTGAAAATGAAGATACGAAATGCATGGAATGC